TTCATAGGATAGTTTTTCAATTCAATAGGATGTGCTATTTCCGATAGACCAAATGTTTAGCACTAGGGGCACACCCTCAACCACAACCTCAACCACACCCCCTCTCTTATTTGTTACAGTGCACCGGGTCCCACTTGGGATTTTAAAAATTTAAAATCCTAAGCGGGACCCGGTGCACTGTAGCAAATGAGAGAGAGGGTGTGGTTGAGGTTGAGGTTGTGGTTGGGGGTGTGCCCCTATCATTTTCCATGTTTTTTATACTTTCCCCTAGGAACTCATTAGGGTAGTTTAGTCTTAATTAAATGAAGGAAAATGAAATACTTTACTTCATAGAGAGTATTAAATTCTTAACTAATTAATAAATGATTAAAAGGGTAGGTATCCTCCTTTGAAACATTAGATTAATTGCGGGAGGTTCTAGTGTTACTTCACTCCACCTGAAATTGGGTATGGTGTCTTGATCTCTGACTATGTATTTAGGCTGCACGCCACCTTAAATTCTCTAGTGATGAGAACTTGCGCAGTGACTTTGGATTCAACTGACTCTGCCGAAAATAATTGTTTACATAGGTTGAAGAGGATTAATTTTTCTTTATGATTAGGTACATTAAAAAAATTATGATTAGTTTATCACCTTTCTTTTCAATTAGTGCGTACACAAAACTTGAATTTGCATGCCTCGATATTGTTTCGTTAGATTCTGGGATAAAGGGAAAAAATTTCAGTTGGGAGAAATGATTAGCAGCAGAAAGTTTATCGCAAGAAGAGTTAACGGGGTGCTTGTTTAGTTGAAAGTGATTCGCTTTTATTGCTAGGGGGTGTTGTTTAATTGAAACTGTATCTGAAACTGAAATGTAAAAAAATTATCACATCAGATTTAATGTATTTTCAATAAAAAAGTGCAGATGTAATATGATAGTGGAAAAGTAGGAACCACTTTTAATTGAAAAATAATTTTTTATTAAATTACTTTTTTAAAATGAAAGGTGAGTATTTTTATGTTAGTCCCTCAAAACTTTACAATTTAACTTAGTTACTATAAGATTTTTTTTTTCCGAAAGAAAAAGCAGGGCAAGATACCCTACTCAAAAGATGTATTAAAAACTGTACAATTTACAGGACGTGGTGTCAAAAAGAGAAAACAAAATTAAAAAAATGCAAAGCGCAAAAAGAAAGATATCAATTGATTAAAGGGGTTTTTGCTTTTAGCTACAAAGTCGGACCCCCATTGATGAAAAAACCCCACTAGGTTTTATCTACCCGTATACCCCATTGATGAAAAAACCCATTTACTTTTAAACCCAATCATACCATTGTACTGTGTATTTGCACATAGTGTTTTCAAAATACCAAATTTGCCATGTACCCAAATATATTTCTCTCTCTCTCATGCTCATCCTCTCTCAAAACCCCAAAATCTCTAGCACTTCTTCTCTCTCCAAGCCCCAAATCTTGAAGCCTAGTATCTGAAATGGCGTTGCTGTGATCGTGACCCAAAATTCACCGAAGCCCTAGCCTTGCAATCAACTTGCTATTGTCCTCGCCTCTAAATCATCGACGACGACAAAATCCTCCAATTCGTCGCACCTCATAGGCCCCTTTCATTCTCCTTCTTTCTTTCCTGCTTCATTTTCATTTTAATTTTAAAATTTTCATTGGGTTTTCTAGATTTGATCAGCGCAGGTCATTTTGGGAGGGCAATCGTGATGCCCCAATTTGAAATCGTCGGTGACCACGGTGGCGGTGGAGTGTGGAGTACAAAGAGAGGATCCTCAAAGCCCTATTGCCAGATTCTTAATTCAATGCATTGATGATGCTATATCTTACTGATAATATGAGTTCCAAGGTGGCAAGTGATTCCTTTTTTCATGCCTAGTGGGTTAAAAGTTAGTTTCTTTGTTGCCGTAGTTGTGCTCACTATGTGTTTATGAAAATGCCCACAATGAAAATTGCTATGATAATACATTATATCTCTCCGTTCTCCTCACAACTTTGAAGTTTTAGTGCAACAATTTCCATGCAACTAAGTCATTTTGGACTAGTTGCCATTGTGATTGTGTCTAGTTATAGTCTATGATTGACATAGCTTTGGACGTAAATGGTAGCGGCAACCATTTTTTTCGTAAAAGAGGTTCAGATTGCAAACTCCAATTGTAATCAGTCCCCAGTAGAAATTCAATAAACACACACACACACACACACACAAAATATTTAGACAAGTAAAACTTTAAATTGGAGATGCGGTGAAGAAAGTGTTAGATGCATAAAAACTTCTTACAGAAAGTGAATTTAGTTACAATATAGGTCTTTGATTGGGTTACATTGTATATCTTTGTAGTGAGCTATTCTTGAAGAACATACCAATTTAATGACGAAGCTAATGAAGAAAAATATTTTGCAACAGAGATTTTTAGAGTGTGAGAGAATTTTGATCCCAAGTCTCAGCTCAGACACTAGCACATGTTCGTTTACCACTATCAAATAGCATCAGCAAATGCGGCAGATCACCATCTTGCAAGAGGACTACCTATTAACTTCACCATTTAATGACCATAAAACTGTAGTTTGGACTATAAAATTCATATGTTGAGATGTTTGATTTGAGCTTTTTGTGCTATAGCTCATCTTGTCTATGTTATATCTTCATGTTTGAGCTCTTTAGTGTTGATGTTATAGCTTGATTTTGTAGTTCAGTAAGTACTTCTAAATATGTGTAAAAAACCAAAGCTCCATCAGCTAGTACTCTTAGATTTCTTAGTAATTTCACAGTCATCTTTTTTGGTTTAAATTAATTTTTACAAAACCAATGGGTATAAAATAGATATAACAAGATATACAAAATCAATAAAGACGCATAAATATAGATAAGTAGCTAGTAAATAATTTTTACAGAACCAATGGGTATAAAACGTCTTTAATAGGGATACAAAAATTTAATAAAGAGGTACAAAACAACTATGATAAGGTACAAAATAATTTTTATAGAATCAAGGGGGTATAAAACTGCTATAACAAGGTACACAATTTTTATAAAGAGGTATAAAACAACTATAATAAGGTATAAATATCTTAAACAATGTACAATATAATTTTTACAACTGGTGTAATAAGGTACAAATTTTTTAATAAGAAGAGTATAAAACATCTATAACAAGGTACAAAATAATTTTTATAGAATGGGATATAAAACTGATACAACAAGGTACATTTTTTATAAAGAGGTGTAAAACTATAATAACAAGGTACAAAAATAATGTTTACATAACCAAGTGGGCATAAAACTTGTTATACTGAGGTACATAAATAATTTTTATAACCAAGTGGGTACAAAAATAATTTTTACATAACCAAGTGGGTATGAAACTTGTTATACCAAGGTACATAAATTTTATAAAGATGTATGAAACTACAAGAACAAGGTCCAAAATAATTTTTACAAAAACCAAGGGAATATAAAACTTGCTATTCCAAAGGTAATTTTTACATAACCAAGTGGGTAGAAAACTTGTTATACCAAGGTACATAAATTTTATAAAGAGGTATGAAACTACAACAACAAGGTCCAAAATAATTTTTACAAAACCAAGGTGATATAAAACTTGTTATACCAAAGGTACATAACTTTATAGGGAGGTATAAAACTACAATAACGAGATACAAGATAATTTTTTTAGAACCAAGGGGTATAAAACCTACTATAATAAGGTATAGAAATTTTCTTGGACTTAACTAAAAAGAGCTCAAATAGAGTTAACATTCAACTGTTTCTTTATGTCTTTTTACAAATTACCAGGATGGTTGATCAAAGAAGTGGACAAAATCAGAAGGAACTTCCTTTGGTCAGGTAAATCAGTTTCTAAACCTTTCAAATGCCTGGTCAATTGGAAGAGGGTTTGCATGAATAAATTAGAAGGGGGTTTGGGAGTGAAAGATCTCAAAACTTTCAATATCTCTCTTCTTTCGAAATGGCTATGGAAATGTCTTGATAGAGATTCTTATATTGGTGCATTCCTTAACCATCTATATGTCAGAAAAGGTTCTTCCTTGCAATCCGCTACTTCTAATGCTTCTAACTCTCTGGTGTGGAATGATATCATTTCAAATAAAGAAGTGTTCATACAACTTCTATCATGGTCTCATGGTTCTGGAGAAAAAATCAGATTTTGGGAGGATAAATGGATTGGTAAGAATTCTCTTTCCAGTTTATATCCATCCTTATACTTTCTAGCCTGGTCCAACAATGTCTCTATTCGTAGTCAAGGAAATATTCACAACAACACTTGGCATTGGCACCCTCTCTTGAAGCGTAGTATTACAACAGTACCGCATACTGTCAAACTGGACTTCATGAATTGTATTGGTATACATAAAATTTCAAATCAGGTGGATATCCCAATATGGTCCTTAACATCAAATGGTCTCTTCTCTGTCAAATCCCT